TCTATTTAGTGAGTAGTACTGGGGATTGAACCCAAGGTCTCATGCATGTTAGGTAAGTAAGTGCTCTACCACTGACCCACACGCCCAAGGCCTACACTCCAATATAAAAAACTGCATATACATCCAGTAAGTCCCAGCAATCTGATTTTGTGCTCTTAAACTCTTGGAACAGGGAGAATATTAAGTATCAAAGATAACTTAAGATTCACACAAGCAATTAAGATAAGAAACCATCAGATTTTTTTTCCTTCTTTTCTTTTTGATGCTGGGGCTTTGTGTATGCCAGGAAAACACTCTCCCATTGAGCTACATTCCCATCAAGACACTGAGTTAAACTCCCTAAACCTGCAAAACAAAACTCTTAATATAGGTTAACCACTTAAAAGAACAGAACTCTTCAAAACATCCACTGAGGCTAGCAGATAACAAAATATTTATTTTATTGTTGTAAAATTAAAAATAGTAGACAAGCTTATATAGTTACAGTTCCAAAGCAGAATACAAATATATAAATTATTGCAGTTTTGAAAGAAAATGTAAGCAAACAAGGTCTAAATAAACTTTCTGAAACAAACCTACTTTTTATCACAACAGTTTGATTTTCTTTTCCAAATGCCTTAGCACATTTTGTAAAATAAACTTCTAACACCAAAAAAAATTAAAGTTCAATGACCATAGCATATGCTACTCAGATTTAAAGCAAAGTACATGTGTGTGTGTGTGCACACACTCTTATAAAAGTAGGAACGTCATTCAACAGGAGTCACTACTGAACACTTTTAAACTGCCTCTTTTGGAAGAGGTAACATAAAAAACTACTACTCTAGACATGCATAAAGGAAGGAATGAAAAAAGTGGGCTAAGTTTAAGTAACACTGTTTTGGAGGAAGATATATACTCATTTCCATGATTTTGTTTCATTTTGGTAAGCTTAAAATTGTAAGATAATTAAAAATTGCTAAAATGCATTACTAATGTGGGCTCTTTTAAACTGAAAATAATAGTGAAGTACATGTTACAAACCAGATGTTAAAGAAAACCCTTCATGCTACAGACTTGCTCTAATAGGGTTTCACATCAAGGTAAACTTAGCCTAAAATTACTTAATGGGTTAGACTGCCTCCTATCAAGGGCAGATGCGAAAGGAAGTCTTAAGATTAAAACACTGCAAGGCAAGCCTAGCTGTGACACCCCAAACCCAGTTTATCAGGAGTCACAACTCTGTAACTCTATACTGGTAAATACACTGTCTTCTGCCCTCCCCTCCCCCACCGCCCCTAAAAAATAATGTAATTCAAGAGTAACTTGTTGAGGAATTTTTTTTCTTGCTGGGTTTTCCAACAAATTTCCTCCAGTACTCATTTCTACTGACTTAAAAATGCAAGGACTGAAATGAAACCAATTATCTTTGCTTTTAAGTCGCATCTGAACTGAAGGAATTTAAAATGCTTAGAGTATTAAACTTCTCAGTGAGTACTTAAAAAGAGTCAGATATCTTACTTTAGCATAACAGTATCATCTGTCAGTAAATGAGCTGGCAAAAGTCAGAAAAAATACCACTAAAAGAACTTTACACTGTACCATTAGGTTTTCATGTATACCTACTTTTATGACTACTAACCCAGACCTAACAAGCTATACAAATAATTTAATCTTTACAAATTCCCACTGACCTTTAGAGCATATACTTTTTGTGGTACATTTCACAGTGCTAATAATGAAAGATTTCCTCTAAAATGAAAAATAAAACCCAAGCCAGTAAACATTAGTACAAATAAATTAAAAAAACTTAAAAAATCAGCAAACATTGAGTAACAAGCCTCAACAATGTAAACACCAAGGTAAATAATACATAAACAAAAGAAAGCACTTTAAACCATTTTCAATGTGATAAAACATAAAACTGAGAAATCTCAAGATGTCTATCGACATGACAATCAAATCGAACACATTCTAAGTGTATTTCTGAAATCACCTTCCAACATGAACTTTGTATTTTGAAAATAATCTTTACATGTTTATTAAAATGGGCACTTTATGGTGAAATGAACACATTTTGAAAAGCTAAGGACATCTCTTTTCTCCAACACTGTGCATAAAAACTACTCAATGGAACAAATGCTCAGCTGCTTACATCATCTTATTATTGGCATCTCAAGTGCACATCTTTTTCAAGGGAGTAATGTATTTACTTTTGGCAGTACTGGAGTTTGAGCTGAGGGCTTTGCATTTGCTAGGCTAATGCTCTACCACTTGAGCCATGCCTCAAGTGGTTTAGTTATTTTTGCTTTAGTTATTTTTCCCGTAGGGTCTGGTGCTTTTTGCCCAGGCTGTCCTAGGACTATGATCCTCCTACCTGTGCCTCCCACTCAACTGGGATTACAGAAATGTACCACCATGCTAGGCTCATTTGTTGAGATGGGGAATCTCACTGACTTTCTGTGATCCTTCTACGCACCTGGGATTATAGGCATGAGCCACCTTGCCCAGCTTAAAGGACTAACTTAGATATTAATATTAAGATCAAAGGATAAGATCTCATTTTCAAACTAAAAAGTAGGTCGGACAACTAAAACTCTGTTGTGCAAATAGGAATAAAACCCAGGGCCTTGAGTATGCTAGGAACATGAGAACCTTAATCTTTAAGAACAATCTTATGGTTTAAAATCACTTTGACTTCTGATTTTTCAAATATTTAACTTACCTAATTATAAAATGTGAAAAAAATTTTATTTCATTTCTTTTATACATATTAGCTCTGAGAATGTTAGTAATGGCTGACTAGCAACTTGTCTTTAATCATTTTTGAAGCTGAAACCACACAGGAGATAAGTCTTCTAAATTCCTCAAAACGTACGAATGACTATACAGAAGGACAGCCAGGTTGGAAAGCAGTATCTGTGATAGTTCATGCTCTCCCAAGTTAGCATCAACTCTGTCCCTGATCCTTACTTCTGCATATACCACAACTGCATATTCAATCAAAAAACATAGGAATATTTTTACCAAGTATTTGGATAAACTGCTGTGCAAAATATTTCAGCAAATAATTTTTTTCCTAGCAATTCATTTAAACAAGTACTAGTGTGACTCCCAGCACCAGAATTTTAGGGAGTACTTTTCCTTTGAAAAGCTTTAGCAGAAACACCTAACTAGAACAAATCAGATATCCCAGTTAAGACCTTAGTACATGCACAATCCCCACCCAGTTATTCCAAACTCATTAGTAAAGCTACACATTTGCCAGAACACTCTTTTTTAAGAGAGAAGCAAACATTTTCTTTGGATAACACTGTTGTATTTAGGACTGCACCATATGGCTCATATTCTAGAAATATGCTACTACTGCTATCAAATGCAACACATCCCAAACTTTTATGACTGTCCCTAAGTCATCTAAACAGAAGCCTGAATGTGTGCAACCACACTGAGTGGTAACACTCTTAATGAATTATGCCAAAAGAGTAAAATCAAATTTGAAAATGTAACCATAACAACACAGCACTAAAATACTTATTGGCATAATCAGGACATGACTTTATCCAACTTGTAAATTTGGATATTTTCATATTGCACACATTCAATTTAAAGCTTATCAAGACTAAGGCAATACATCCACCCCACTCCCTGGACTTTAAGTTCATTTGGGATAAAAAAAGCTGAGAACCTGCAAGCAGGTTTTCAAAAGCTTCTTCCAAAAAGCTTGAAAATTAAGTCTTATTTCAAAGAAAAGCAAAACAAAAATGAACGGCATATTAATACCTTCAGGATAATTTAATACATCTTAGCATTACAAAAAGTTGCTTTCAACTAGATTGAAGCATTTTTTTGGATTAGTCAAATACTGTTTGTGTTCAAGAATTGGATGCCAAATTCAAGTTAGATGTTGTTTATATCTTTATGTATGAAGCTGCTAAGTTAGTGGATTTTTCTATAGGTTCTTTCAAGTCTAGGATCTACCTCAGAAATATATTCTAAGTACCAGAAAAACAGAATTTAGGGCCCATGGCTATAGCTTTCACTGTAACACATTATTAGAACTTATCTAGTTGCTTCAGATAATCTATTAGGTAAGAACTCTTTAGAAACATCATAGGCAACTGATATGGAGCATCTTTTTAAACAAAGGCTTATTTTATTGAATCAGGAGTTTCGTTTTTCTTGGTCAAAGAATCTTCTCTTTCCCTTTAGATTCTAGTTTAGAAAAATACCTCATAATGCTTTCTTTGGGCACTAATTTCAGTGATGTTGACAGCAGAATTTGGACAGTTTAAAAGTTCCTGAAACTTTATCTAAAATGACCCACAGAATAAATTTAAGTTTTCTCAAAAATAGGACAATTTCAATTTGAAGACAAGTATTACATTTAACTTGAAAGTGAGGCTTGACTTACTCTGTCCAAATTCTAATACATTTCATTCAATGTCATTAGAATGAAAGTAATAATGAATGAAGCAGAGCTTTCACTTTTTATGAGGAAAAATTTGCATACAAAAGTTAGATAAGTATTTTATTCCTAAACTGACTCAGAATTGCTTTTCTAGAAAACAATAAAATGTATTCTATTTACTTGGATACTTGCTTTAAAAAGTTATTAATTTCTCTTTCATAAGCTATTAGAAGTTAAAACAACTCAACTAAATAGATTTCTACTCCAAAATACATGTATCTTTGGAAAGCAAGATAACAGTTGTAAGAAAACACTATATTAAGAGAATAAAATGCAGTAATCTGAAATATGGGTAAGCATATTCACATATGAAAGTGTAAATATACAGAGTCATTCAAATACACATTTATAAAGAGAATGAAAAGGTACTTAAAATAGCAATTTATATATAAAAATTTTATATTAAAAATATTGCTCATAATAAATCAGTGATATTATGAATTCCATTTCCCTTTTAAAAGTTATCTTTTATAGTTCAGACTAATAAGGAATTTATCTTCTATTGTTTTGACAGGTGAATTATATTAAAATAGGTTTAATAAAATCACACACTGTAACAATTAATTTAAATTGTTAAATTAATTAAATTAAATTGTTAAGTCACATGTGGTAAAAATTAGGGACAGGCATTTAGTAATTGTAAGAAAAAGACTCCCAAAGTAAAGCTACATGATAAACCCTAGAAGACTAGAGTATATGTGATCTGCTTTATTAGACAAAGATGTGAAGTACTGTCTTATATTTTTATATTTTGCAAATTTCATGACCATAAAAAATGGACCATTAAGTTTCATCAAACTTTGAAGAAGTCTGCATGCTTGGCAAACCAATAGCATATGAAATGTGAGTTTAGTTCAGTTGTTTATGGGTAGGTGTGATTTCATTCCTGTTCTTCCTACTTGCAGGCATGGTAACTTGGAACAGTTCTTGAGAAGCTGTTCAATGGCAACATGACGGACATGGAGCTCTGAGACCAAAGAATCTTTTTCTTGAAGTTGGTGTGCTAACTCTTCGAAAACTTCTGTAAAGATTTAAAAAGCAGTTTCATTTTCAGTGCACAGCTAATCCTATGATTTGTATTTTAAATAAATAAGTACTATTACTAAAATAAAACCACTGGACAAATTTTAGCAATCTAATCAATTTAACATCAAGGAAACTGTCTTCTGCTCCAAGCCTATCAGTTTACTCACCCTGGAAGTCTATATACTTTATATAGTCATCAAGTGTATAGCAGAAACTGTGAATGCCACTACAACTGAGTCATTTCTCAATTATAACGTATAAGTATGTTCAACAGTATTTAATATGACTTAGATAAGAAGTGTCCATTAGTATTCAAGTGTGGAAAACTCCTCTAAAAGCCTTTTGAGTCAGATTACCTGAATTTACAAATTTTTGCTCCTACTATTATGTGTCTCGGGCAAGCAACTTCAACCTTGTTTCAACTTCCTTTTATGTGTAAGATCAATACTGACAGTGAATACCTCAGGGGTTCATAGGTAAGAATTAAAGGTGACCACATTTGTAAGGTATACAGAATAAGTACTTGATAAATATAAATTGTGACTGATTATTACTGTTACTATTTTTATTATTCTTAGAGGCTGTGTGGTCAAGAAAGATGACTGGCTTTGCAGTTAAAAAGACAGCATCTTTGATCTGCTACTGACTGAATGCACAATCTGTATAAGCAACCTAAAAGTCTCCAAAGTGTAATTTCCTTACCTAATGGGAATACACTGTAATGAAAAGGATATAATTGGGGAATGTGAACACTGAAACTATTCGTGTTATCGTATTTCATGATGCTAAGGAATTATTCTAAAAGATGTGACAATGAAGTTGTGATTTGATAAAAGTTATGTTTTAGAAAAAATCTTGAGGTTTTTATGGCAAAGCAGTAAGCTGCCTGGGAATTATTTCAAAATAATCCGTGTGAGGGTTTTGGGCAGGGTAGGGGGAATAGAAACAAGTAGAGATTGAAAAAATTAGCTATGCTTAATCGAAGCTGGCCAAGATGTGCCAAGGGGTTCTACTATGCTGGTCTCACTACTTTTCTGTGTTTAGAACTATTCATAATTAAAAACAAAATAATGCAGAAAGAACAAAACAAGAACACAGGGGCCATACTACTTGCTTTAAAGAACTGTCAGGGATCACAACCTTACAGGGTTTGGTACAGTAGTACATGATGAATGCTGGTAAGAGGTAACTGTTGTCTCCATTTTCACTTAGAAAAGAAATGTCATTTCTTCTGCTGATTATAAAGAAGTTGTTCTCTGCAAATCAAAACTACACTGAAATCCCCCCTTACCTCCTGTCAGATTGGCTATCAATAAGAAAACATGAAACAAATGCTGATGATGGGGGGGTGGCTCTTATTCACTGATGAATGTAAAATAGTCTAGCCACTATGGAAATCGGTATGGAGATGCCTCAAAAATTAAAAATAGAACTCCCAAATGATCCAGTCATTCCACTTCTGGGTGTATACCTAGAAGCATCAAAGTCACCTTACTGTAGAGACACTGGTATACTCATGTTTATAGATAAGTCATAGGATCAACCAAGGTGCCCATCAAGGGATGAATGGATAAAGAAAATGTGGTACATGTGCACAATGGAGTTATACCACCCATTAAAAAGAATATGTTGTTTCCTGGAAAATGATGGAAGGGAAGGAAAAAGGGGAAGGAGTAATATGAAAGAGTAATAGAGTTGGCGATATGATCAAAGTACATTATATGTATGGTGTCATGATGAAACCCCTTACTATGTATAACTTAATATACAATTAAAAAAAGAAAAGAGGAAGAAAAAGAAGCTGTTCTCGTATTATTCTTTTAGCGCTAGAAACTCTGAACAGGTGAAACACCTAATTTACAAATTTAAATGCATCTGAAATTAATGATGTCTGCTGTAGGGGATTTTCTGTATCAGTATTTTTCATGTGTAAAAAAAGCATTAAAACTGATTCTTTACCCTGGATTTGCTGTTGGAGCTTTACATTCAGTTGCTTTACTTCATCAAGGGTCATTGAATTCACTGAAACATGAAAATATATTCATAGTTACATCATAACAACCTGTGAAAATAAGCCACCAAATACAAGATCCTTTTTAAAAATTACAGTTATCTACCAACACAACATTCAGCAGTGTTTTCCAAATTCTGACCACAGCCCTCAATAAGAAATATATTTTACATCACTACCAGTAACACCTCCAACCTCCACAGGAAACTAAAAAATCACCAAGAAATATTTAGTAACAGGTTTGCTGGATTCTGGATATCTGTTCTACTCAGTTTTCACAAAGTGCTAGTCACTACCATCAAGCTGATTTTGATTAAGCATCACAAAGTTTGTGACCTGCTGTTTAAGAACGCTAAAACACTGTGAAAAGAGTTTGAAAATCAACTTGTCCATCTAGGTAAACAACTTTAGATAATTTATAGATAGAATCAAGTAGTTGTCAAAAGATATTGAAGGTCCCTTCTGGCTCTAAAATAATTTGATTTAAATTAAAATTACCTCAGTTTTGCAGACAAATTTTTTTTTTCAAATTTTAAAATTAATACACTTTTACCTTTTAGCCTTTGATAAAATGTCAGCTATGTGGTCTTAAATGCTACAGTCAATTGGCCTTGCAGGTATTAGCAACATGACAATGTATATCAGCCAACAGTTGAGACTGTACTTCTATAAACTATTTGAATCCTGAACTTTCCAGTTCATAGTTTGCTAATTCCATTCTGTTTAATCATTCAAAATGGTAAAATAAATGACAGAACTGCTAGGTTTCAATGTGCAGGGCATACTCAGTACTCAGAGAATAATTTTATGACATCTCATTTTTGCTAAGGTGAATCTGTCATTGAAATACAATTTAAACAAATCTATAACTCTACATCAAAATATATAAAAATGTAGAAAACAAAGAAGAAAAAAACAAAAACCTACCAAAACCACCCCCAAATCAAGGCACCAAACTTTGATCTTTCACCCTGTCACTTACGTTCCTCCTTGCTGTAATGCAGGTTCTGGGTCTGGATATTTGCTTCTGGACTACAGACTCTCTCTCCTTTTCTCTGGGCCTGACTGTGACCATGAGGCCACAATACACTGTCATGGCACAAAGGAGCACCCGAATCTTGTAACACAGCAAGCCCAAAGTCTGTATTTTCCCTCTGCTCCAAAATTCTTTGTGTACAGTTTGAGATGCCACCTTTACTTCCATCTATCCAATTTGCAGAATATTTTGGCACTTGAGAGTCAAATTGTGGGAGTAATTTCTTATCTGGTTTATGCCTGAGATTAAAAAGGTGATGCTGGGGGTTTTTAGAACATTCAGAATCAGAGTCCATATCTTTATTCTGTGCATACTGTACAATCCAGTTTATCTTCTTACTCAAAATGGTTTTAACTCCTTCATAAGTACTTTTGGACAGCTTAGATCGAGGACAATCCTGGTTAGCAATTAAATGGTACTTTTCAAAGCAGTCTTTATGGCCTCTTAATGATCTGGTGTGCAAAAGATTAGCTTTTGGTACTCCTAAAGAAAAAAAAAAGACAGAATGAACAATCAAGACAATATTACATTTCTGTATAAACTGCATTAAGAATATGTAAATCTTGGTAAAATAAGAGTTCTTGACAGTTTGGACATTAGAAGAAAATGCTAAAGAATATTGATAGTAGTAATGTAAAATGCAGCCTAACTACAGCCGTACTATTCTTATGAATAAGAACTTAATTGGTTCAATTTGAATCTTAGTCCAGAGACATGTTATTGTATACAATATATTCAAAAAAATCCTCCTGAACCCGGCATTCTACCCTCAGACTCTAGGCCTTTATGTTATAGCCATTTCTTTACTAATCCTCCCTAAGTACACAGTGGCAAAATTTTCTTTTAAAGGTTTAATAAGAGAAATTTTCAACTTTCTCCAACAAAACTACAGGCAAATCATATTATTAAATTGCTACTTATGCTTTTATTGGAGAGAGAAACCTGAACAGAAAATACACATTAATGAAAGACTTGAAAAGTCAATGAAATGTTTAGATAGATTTTTTAAGGAAATGAAAGTGTTTTTAGTATTCCCATTTTATTCTTAATAAAGCTTATCAAGATAATTTTTATCTTCTAGAAGAGATGAATTATGCAATTATTATTCATACAATGGTAAATTAATCTGCTAAAATAGAGTAACCAGTGTAATTCTTCAATTCACAAATATTTATACATACCAAAAATAATTAAGATATCTATATCTATATCTATATCTGAATTAGAGCATAAGGAGATAAGGGTAGTTGTCAGAAATTATAAACCAAATAAGGGTAGTTGTCAGAAATTATAAACCAAATAAGAAATTGTTCAACTTTACTATTTGCTTCAGACACTTATTTTTCTTGGAAACACAGGTACCCAGACCAAACTTGATTTTTCCTTTCCCCTTCCTCTTTTTCTTCCCTTTCCCCTCCCTCCCTTCCTTCTAATTTTTTTTTAAATACAAATCAAACTTGAAATTTACTTTTCTAACCTTAGAAAATCTATTAAAGAGCTTCATTTTCCTCTGCAAACTTCAGGGTTTTGCTGCCAACAGAGGGCTAGCTAATGCCTTGAAATAGTAATGTTTCCACTCTCAGTATACCGACACAGCCTAACGTGTGTGTGCCAATGATTAAGTTGAACCTAAATATAGTAAGTTTTAAGTTTCTCCTTCAGTCTATATGAAAGCGAATTCATTAGCACATTAAAGGTTCTAAACTAGGCTACAGAAAATATTTTACTGTTAAATTTTGTGGAAATTTTGGTACTTATATAGAAAATCAGAAATTGTATTTTAAAAAGACAACCATAATTATATAAAGCAATAAACTTCCTGATGCACCTCAGCACTTTGCTTCAACAAGAGGTTAACAAAATAATGTGGACTTTTAAAGCTAAGATTTTTTTTTTATCCAATGGTGCTTCTTAATGATTCATAGAATATAACTTTTTTCTCCATGATTTTTCTTAACCTTTTTATCTCCACATCAGTAACAGGAACCAAGAGAATCACATGACTATATGCAGCTACATAATCTGCTGAGAGAAACAGCAGATCATAGAATTCCAAGTTAATTTACAGTGAACGTATGTAAACTACAAAATAAATTTCAAATTCCTCCAGACATTCAGGAGCAAAATTCCCTATTATAAAAGACATTTTAGGAAAGCGTCACAGGAAAGAAAGCATTCTGAATACACATTTTGTGTAGCCTTCTCCTGTATATTCCCACTTAATGTCCCTATAGGCTCCCAAGCTCATTCTGTCTAAATGAAACTCCTCTGCCTCCACTCTCCCTACTCAAACCCTGACCTCTTACCTGAGCGCTCCCTACCCAACTCAGGTGTTTTGCTATCCATCTTAATAGCTGCTTCCCATGTTGTAGCAACTATAACACTTAAATTCTGCTTCACTCTATTATGACTCTCAAAGTAAATCTGAGTTATCATTACTTCCTATGTAAGTTTCACTTCCTCTAAGGAGCCTTCTCTTAGTATTACACTTGGATTAGTTTATCATACGAGATTTTATAAATGCCTCTTTACTGGACTTTTTATCTTGATAGATGGTTAAGTTCTGTGGAAAAAAAAAGGCATAGTATCTATCTTACATGCATCTTCAGTATCATGGTGTCTGACACACAGTAGGCACTCAAGAAAGAGTAGTTACATAAAGGAAAATCAAAACTGTATTTAAAAAAACTCCAAATGAAATTTATTATCAATTATCATTTACAGTTTACTGTAGTGCAGTTTCGCTCATCCCAGTAAGGGAACCAGGACATGCGGTTCTATTAGGCTACTCAGAGAATACCTAAAGGCATCTTTTTAGTGAAGTCATTCTTATATTCATAATGGGCATCAGTTTGAGGAAATGATGAGTGGTACTAACATAGAAATCTCATTTCTGTGGCCTCAATCTCCCAAGAAAATCATGAAGTTCAACTCAATTATGTATTTTCAGATAGAAATTTATGTAAGGTAAATATACAAAGAGGGCTGTTTTATGTAAACTGGTGCTCATTCAGTGAGATCTGCTGCATCTCTAACTTTACTGAAGTCAATTACACTAAAATTTTAAAAAGCTTGACTGAACTCTTAAAGTTCAATTTAAAAATATTTGTTTTATATACTTTAAAATGTTCCATTGAGTAGAAAACAAAAAATATAATACATTGACTACATCATATAATTGAACAAATTTTTAAAAAGAAAGTGAGCAGCGGACTTATAGCAATATATATCATTTTATAAACTCTTCAAGCGATTTGTTTTTACCAACTCATCATTTTAAACTAGTATTTGAGAAACAGCCATTGCTATTATAAGAGATTCTAGTGAGTTTACCAATTGACTCTTTAATTTTAATTACACTGATATGTGTAACTAGCTTTGTTCACTGATTTGTTTCCTAAGCAGGTTTTGAAAGGGAATGAATTTAAATGCAACAGAGTCAACACTTTTGAGGAGATGAGTCATAAGGAATTTCCAAACCAGTGCAAAGATTGCAGTAGTTTCCTTGCTATTTAAAGTTCTGAAGGCCAATTATGAAAACTTCTTTAAAATATGCCTCTAAGATGTCCATGTCACTTTTTTTTTTTTTTTTTTGGTCAGAGGTCATTATTATTATTAAAGAACCAACATCTTAATTGTTAACAATAACTGTTAATCTTATTTTTTTTTAACATACCAGTTTCTTCTGGATAATGTTTAGAAATTCCAGTATTTCTGTCTGCACAGGGTTTTAAAAAGTTAAGCTATCCTAAACAGTTTTCCTTTTATCTTTTCCATGTTTATCCAAGGAATTTTACATACACTATTCTTTCATACTTTGAAAACTCTCTTGCTAACCCATCTGGCATGCTATCCCACACTTCTATTCTTAGACTCTCTTTAAAATAAATTGTTTTATGAAAGCTTGGTTAAACTCATAGAAAAGCAAAAACTATTCAAAGATGGATATTTAGCTAACAATGCTCCCCCTTTAAAATTAAGGTTATTCCCATGCTTATCTGCTGATTGTAATAAAACAACATTTTCCTACAAAGATAATATTCCAAATAGCACTAAAAACAAAACAAAAAAGCTGCAAATACTAAAACCCTTAAAAAAGTCCCACCACATACCCTATTATCTTCTGCTTGAAGATGGCTTTACTTATGATTTTGTGGTAATGAAGTAAGCAATCTTTTCCTGATGGTTCACCAGCTGGTCCTGTCAAACAGCACTGTCTCTATATTGATGCCACAAAGCTTTATACTTCACACCTTCTTAAATCACATCATCTCACTACTTTATGCATGTTTAGCTATTTTCAACTGGACTTTATTTTGGATTTGATTACATATTCTATTTTCCTATCAAAAGTAGCTTTATATACTGATGCTCCACAGGTAAAGCAAATATAATACAACCAGCAATTAGATATAAAGTTGTAATACATATGTAATCCTATCTGTGAAACACTGGTAAGTATTAGGAGAGCAAGCTCTTCCATTTTTTACTTCAAACTTTGAGCAGAATTAAAGAATTAGAAATATGGGTTCTCCAAATGCTGGGTTTGATGTTTTTCTTAATATTTTAAATAAGACAAGAAAATTTAGTTGTGATTTAAGTTCCAGGACGTTAACATGCTGCAAAAAAATTTTAAGCATATTGCCTTCAAATATGACAAGCATTTGTATAACAATTCATGAGTATTGCTTCAAAACCTTTTTTTTAAATGGAGGCTCACATTTTGCCCAACTCAAATAATTTTCCAAGATTTAATGTTTCTCTTTTTGTGTTGGTCTAATTTTGGTTACTAAGAAAGACAGTACAAGCACCTGTGTGTGTGTGTTGCCTATACTGAGGAGTAATACTGTGCTTCTATAAACAAGTTGTCAATTCTAAAAACTGGAGGACAGCCAAACAGCTGCACTAGGAAAGAGTAACAGGAATAACAGGTCACTTCTACGTTTTTTGAGGAGATAACCATTTCTGAATACAGAAAATAGGGAACAGAGGAAAAGCCCCTCTAAGTAAAGGTGGCACACCCACAGTCAGAAGGTGGATGTATACTGCACAAGTGTTATTTGGCCTCCAAATGTCTTAGACAGAGAGAGAGAGAGAGAGAGAGAGAGAGAGAGAGAGAGAGAGAGAGAGAGAGAGAGAGAGAGAGAGAACCAAAAACCTCATTAGATCCACACCCATTCCTTAATTTCTTGATTTCTCCTAAAAACAAAATCAGAAGATCTGGCAGCAACTGGCCTGTACTGAGGAGCAACTACCATATGAAAATGGGGCATGTGTTCTTCAATTCAGAACAGTTCTTATCACTCCCTTAATGAATGTACAAGCACCTGATACTCCTCAAAGATTTGGAAGCCACGTCAGATCACCTCCACTATACTGTACTGTACATTGCTATGGGTCGGGATTGCTGCAGTGGAATTGCTTGTTCAAGTGATGCTTTGACACCCAATTCTACAAAACTACTACACAGTTGATGAGCAAGC